TTCGTTTCCCCATTCTCCAATATTCAGTCACGGCAGTTGGCAAACAAATGGAGAAAGTACCAGACCGAAAGGAGCGAGCGAAAATCTCAAAACGGAAGAACCAGAGCAAGAATGCGTATTACAAGAAGCGTAGTCGACGCCCACAGTACCAGGCCCAAGCTGCTCCGTACCGAATTGGCAAGCAGATCTACCACGCGGCAAATATCGTTCCACGTCTAATGGGCTCCTGTAGCGAAAATGCAGAATTCATTCCTGAAAGTCGTGGAGATGATGATGGTAGTAGTCCGCCTATGCTCTACACGGGTGAAGATTGGCATTCTGGCAACGGCGACGTCCCCTACGATGTGGTGCAGTCGCCAGCTAATATTGAACGTCTCCATCAGTACTTCAACCCTAACGATATCAAATTTGATTTTACACCTGCATTTGGTGTGTGTGGGTGTGAAGAGCGCTGCACGGTATTTTCTTGCGCTACAGCAAAGGTTAATCGTCTTTGCTCGGGTCGGACGTGCTCCCGTGGTGCCACACAACCTAGATGTGGAAATGTTCTTCCGGGACGCGAAGATCTTTTGAGTCTCGTCCGTTTTAAGAATTGGGGGCAGTGTGGCTTAGTTGCAGCGCAAGAGATCGAAAGGGGTACAATTCTCGGCGAATACTATGGTGTGCTCAGCTTTGCTCCATCCCATGTCGAGCGGAACGAAGGCTTTCGTATGGACTTCAAAATAAGTGCATCCGGGAAACCGGTACAAGTGAATGCTCAGGACAAAAGGGGGTTAGTTGCATGGGCGAACCATTCTTGTGCTCCAAATGCGGGTTTTTATCAAGTTGGTCTACGCAGAATGGCAACTGTAGTTGTAATCACGGAGCGTGACGTACACAAGGGAGAAGAGCTAACCGTCTCCTATGGAGACAAGCTTTGGTTCACGTGTCAGTGTGGGCATCCATCTTGCATTCATGCAGATTTATTTACATGTGAACGGCGTGGGTTTTTTGCTATGTGTGAGACTTGCTCTTTTTGAATGAATGCTTTCACGTCAGCATTGCGTTTAAAGTATCAATTTTGTTTTTGTTTTGTCACCATGTATCGTCAGCATGCAAGCATTCAGCCACTTCATAAGCTGGGAGTCTCCTACACTCGTCTAAACCGTAATTTATTGCCCGATGTAGTGCTTCGTGAAGATTGACGAGAGCTCTAAGCCTATATATCGTTGCACTCAGTGCCAAAAGATACGATACACCAAATCGAGCTCCAACAATACCAACAGAAGCAGCGGCGACCTCATTTAAGCTCGACCCGCACGCGGGTTGTAACAGATCCGACCAGCCGTTGTGGATGTTCGAAGGCCAACAAGAAGTCGCTGCATTAGTTCGAGTATCATACGACGTACGGTCTTCAGATCCAGCTTTTGGTGGTCTTGTACGAGTGGCGATGGCTGTTGCGGAACGCTTTCGAGTGGCAGTATCACGGGACGGCATTCGTCTAGCGATGTCTCTATTGGCGGAATGTGATGGAGATCTTCATCGAGCACAAAAGCTGACGAGAGGATGGAATGTTGAGCGTAAGTCTCAGGAGCTTACAACAACTTTCCAGCGGTGGTTTCCACTTTACAAGCCAAACATACAACGAAACGATCGTGAAGAGGAACAGGCACGTGTTGTGTTCTTCGATACAGCAATGACCACTTGGCTGCAAATTGCGCAGGATTTACGTCTCTTTGGTGGAAAAGATGGCAGTTCAGATGACCTCCCTGATGCAGCAGCACTAAAGCGCTACGACTCGCAAACATGGCAAAGGCGAATCTGTCCACCACCTGCGTCTATAGGCGATCTTTGTGTGCACATTAATTCTCTTGAAGGATATCTAAGATTACCACACCTCGGTGTGTAGAAGGAAGGACTAGTGCTCTGGTTTTCTCGATGTTCGCATAGAGGTCAAACTTGGCAAAGTTGCATCATGATCGCCATGATGTGGACAAAAATCTGGTAAATAAGAAAAAAGATTCTTCGCTCATATTTCTCATATCCAATTCAGGTCGAGTGTGCTGAAGTAGGTGAGCAAAAGCCTAGCAATGAGTCGCCGTGTGCACAGGTCGACCAGCCTTTTACCCCGTGAGCCTCCTACAAGTTCAGTCCGTCGACGTGTATGCTAGCGCGCCAACGCAGGTGATCCCCGATCAAGATGAAGACTGGAACTGGGGGTTGATACAAGACGAAAAAGCGTTGCCACAACTTGAATTACGACGACTTGATCAAAAGCATTTATGAACAAGATAAGGAAGAGTCCAAGCGTGACGCTCGAGCTGGGAACGATAAGCATCCGACAAAAATTGCCGGCGACTTCACAGATTTTATGGACTCAGACTCTTCCGACTTAGACAGCTTTACTCTCGACGATAGCAACAGTGATGAACCGTACGAGTATTGGACGACACGAAAGTCTTACAGCCGGAGTCCGTTCTCCAGCTGTAGCTGCTTTTCGTTCGAAGACTCAGACGACGATCAAGATTCAACCAGCAGCAACGACAGTCCTGTCTTAGTTGAGGACAATAATCGTGCTCCTGTTTCAAGTGTAGCACCAACGACATCCACGACGAATATCTCCCGATGCTCTGATGTTGGTCCCAGTGCGTAGCTGGTCTGCGATGATTCACGGAGCAGAGACGTTCCAAGGACCAACATCGATGTAACTACTCGTCTCGTATACCAACTCTCGGTTGCAACTTGCTACACGAGATCCTGCATTAGTGTTGTCATTGACTTTTTCCTTCTCACTGTGAGTATCCGATACGTACCGCTGGATTTCCTACAACATTTGTGTATGTCCAAGAACTTTTACACTTACAAATGTAATGTTGAGGAGCCTGTCTAGTCATCACACAATATAAATACAACACAGCTAATGTTGCCTTCAGATTGGGTTTATTACATTGGTTTCAACATTGGTATCTATTCTTTACTTCGAAGTACTAAGTAGATTTTTAGGTACAAGTGCCCTGTGGATCAGAAATCTTTCGAATCGTATCCGTAATAGCAAAAAAGTAGGAGTGGTGTATGATCTCCATCTTCTCCAGTATTGTGGATTCATCAGTAGCGGCTATCGCTAACTGGTTTACTGCTTCAAGAAACGCCATGGCATCAAGTTCATCGTAGCTTAGTCTCGTCATTTCCACGAATTTCCGGATACGAAAGTCTCGAGGTAGTTTGCCTATAATAACTCCTTCTGGAGATTTCACGGTCTCTCCGTCAACAACCTCCGCGTTGAGTTCTGGATCCGACGTCATACTTCGACGATTCCAATTTGCCGAGCCAATGGAGCCAGCAAGACACACTTCAAGACTCTGTAGGGAGCCGCGTAGCGCATGAGTGCATGTAGCGCGAACGGCGTGCTGTCAAACACCAACAACTTGGGAGCCACTACTCTCAAAACTCCCGTTGTTAGCTCTTCCACGCCATCAATTAACGCCATCGCTGACATGGAAGTACGTATTACATGTTGTAGTACCGGGTACTATATCTTGCACACTAAGACTGCTCGACTGCGCTTTGCTCCTTTTTACAGTGGCCGTGGCCGTTGTCATGACTGTGACTGTGGCCATGACAGTACCGTGGCCGTGGCCTTGCCCAGGGTCGAGAATCTCCATCGGTACCACCTTACTGCCAGTCCGAAGACTGCAACGTCGAGCATGTCCTTGTCGCCCTCGACGTCCATCGTCTTGCTCAGCATCAGGCCGTCCTGGGCCAATCTGGATGTAAACGTGAGACCGACAGCTAGTACCCAGATCAGTAGCACACTCAGTTGTACACCGATCACTTCCTCCCGATGGGATCTATAAGACACCAAGGCGGACGTTAAAAACTGGCCAAATTAATCGCAACAAGCGGCACGGGGGAGACCGCGACCCCCGAGAGCAATTGCACCGCTCTGTCATGATGGCCACATTGTCACTGTAGTAGCCGCCTGCGAACCGCTCGCAATGAAGCGAGCAGAGACACGCCAATTGTTTCTTCTTATGGCAGTATGTGCATTTCGCTTGTCTTGTGCTGCTTTTCCTCCTTCTGGAGCGCCACGAGGTGATCGAGCGTCGCCGGTTCTTGCACCGCCTCCGCGTTCACAGAGATGCTCAGCACTGGTATTGGCGTATTGCCTAAGCACCGATCTCGACCAACATGGGGCTCTACAAGCTCCAGGTTTTCTGGTGTCCATCGCAGTGGAGAGCAATTGATTGTGTTCTATTTTAGTTGACGTTAGATAAAGCGGCTTGCTTTTTACTAATTTTAGCCTTTATTACATGGCTGCGGTTTGTAAAACCACTTCACTTAAAAAATTAAGAGGCCC